GCAACTGCTGGAGGGTTTTACGACCCTTTGTCTCTAAGCATGGTATTTCGCATATGTAATTCGCTTGGGTGTCGACGAAAGATTACTAAAGGTTCTTAGAACCCTAATATGTTGCATAGGTATAAACATACAATATACACTCTCAATTAGATCATCCGAATACGAATTAATAGAGACCAAACACGGTATATGTAAGGTTACATGAATGAGTGGTGCTATCATAAGCATGCATAAAATAGACTACAATACAACTGATAATATACAAGACAGCAATAATATACACAATGACCTGAAGGATATGTGTGTTCATTCACAGAAAGGTTTTCCTATGAATTAATTAGAGAATAGTCCATTTTTATGGGCATTGTGTGTCTTTCCTAAGGGTAAATGAATTGTGAGTTTCTCTGCCCGCATTCCTTTGGGCAATAAATCCAGTGATATCCGCATTGGTTGCCATGGAACCAGAGGCCTGTTCTGCCTTTCTGAGGTGTTCGATGCATTTCGGGGGAAGGGTCCATAGACCCTCATAGTTGGTTTGTTGAGTAATTACAGAGTATTTGTTAAATATAACAAAAAAAATAGTGTGTCTGATTGGTCCAGACGCTACAAATAATCCCCCCTTTCGAATGTTGTTGTCCGTTGAATAGACAACAGCGAGCGACGTCAAAGGTGCAGAACAATCAGACACGCACCTGCCACTCACGGCTGGGAGACAGTGATGGCTCTCTGGCTGTTGTTGCCTCCAGGAGTGGTTGTGGTGCCATGGTGGATGCTGTCAGGTGGTGTGCTGTGGTGATGTAGGCTGTAGCAAGGTGCAGGTCCTCGAGCTTGTGCAGCAGGTGTCAAGGCTGTGTCACCTGTCATCCTGAATCTGGGTAAGCTGGGTAAGATGGTTGTTTGTCGATGTTGTTAGCCAGTAGGCTATCCGTGGTAGTAAGCATCATGCTGGCCATGCTGGCCCTGTTTGGTGTCTAGGGCAGCGATCAGTCCGTGTTCAGACTCTGGGTCTGAGAATTCCTTTATGATGGCTTGTTTAAGCCGCTGGTAGTCTGATTGGATGTGTCCTGGCTGTCGAGCCAGGAAGCGTTGCACCTCTGGGCTAGAGGTGATCCAGAGCAGATAGAGTCTATCTTGGTGGTCCGAGACTGCAGGTAAAAGTCAATGTCTCGCAGGTAGGCGTGGACGTCGTGGTCTCCTGCAAGTTCTGGTGTGAATGCAGGGATTTTTCTGGCCAGTCGGTTGAGGTCTTTGAGTGTCACTCCATGTGTCATTTCAGAGTTTGTCTGAATTTATCCTTTTCCTTCTGCTGCTGCAAAGGTTTCCAGGAAACTGGCTTGTGAAGTGTCAAGCAGAAGGCTTTTGCTCCCCCCCCCCCTTGTATCTGTGTACAGGGGTGAGGGGGTTTACACTGCTGGCAGTGTCACGTGCAGCAGGGTAACTTTTATTTGAGTCCATGCAGTCTGTAGGACTGTTTCAGTTCTTTCTGGACCATGGCAAGCTCCTCTTTAATGTTGCAGAATTGCTGAGTCAGGGTTTGGACTTCAGCTCTGGCTGCATGCAGATGGCTTTCTAAGGCCTTAACTCTAGTGTCCCTCTCATTAAGTTCCACATACGCTGTTTTTAACAGTGATTTTGGTGTAAAACAGTTCTCTTTCCAAGTCCTGTCTGGTGGCTTTTTCAAGCTGCTCTCGGTGTCCAACAGCTGTTAGCGCCTCCTGAAGACTGGTGATTTCCTTCTGTTGCGCCATTCTGTAAGGTTCATTGTATCTGTTCTGTTACAACTTTTTTTTATTACAACTACAAATTACAACTCTCAGATACTGAAGGTACTTTTACTGATCACTGTGATTGTCTTTTTCCCCCTATTCCTTTATAGTTGCTTGTATGTTTTGAAGCTATGTTTAGTTGGTTAAATTCTTAACAATTTTTTTGATTTATTATTAATTTGTAATTATTTTAAAAAGTAGCCTGCTCATATAATTTAATAAAAATGCACAAAATAAATTTGATATAATCATGATGCATCATGATATCGAATTGAATCGAAAGGTTAACATGATAATCGTAATCGAATCGAATCGTGAAACCAGTGACAATTCACACCTCTAGTCCACGCCTTCTTAAAACGCCTCATTCAAACACGCCCCACAAATCTACGTCACTGTGTTGGACGATTTGCCTAACACCGTCCAAATGTTTACGCAAAGAAAGAAGGCTAACTTTTATTCTCGCTGTAGTATTGTTGCCACCGCCGCCATATTGTGGAGACGCTTTGTGTTTCCAAATATGGTAAGGGGCGTAACATTTCCGTCACACGCTTGAGGTATTCGGCCAATCATAAGGCACTGGATAGCTGGCCAATCGCAGCACACCTCGCTTTTTCAGACCGATGAGCTTTGTAAAAATCGACGCGTTTCAGAAAGGCGGGCCATAGAGGATAAACAATAATGTACAGTATGTGGAAAATAATGTGTTTTTTTAACCTTAAACCGCATAAACACATTGCATTACACCAAATACACAAAATAATTTTTCCTTTCCTTTCCTTTTAACTGTTCCTTTTAGCAACATCATATGACCCCTTTAAATTTATAAAAACAACAGAAACCCTGTATCTATTCTAGTGTTCTTATACATAAATACAGAAGAGAAAAAAATGAGGTTATCAACTGATTTTAAATATAAACATCCTGAATTCTATAAAACAAACAGTATTTGTGAAGAAAAAATGGTATTCGTAAAGAAAAATGTAAATTCAAATGCTCTGTTTCCTGTTTGCATACCTAATATATTACAGTATGTATTCTTTGACATAATTGTCACTACTATAATTTGTATTTTTTCATCATAATATGGTGTCCATTATGTTGAGCAGACGTGTAGCTGTGGCCGAGGGACGTTCTGCATCCACGTGCTCTTCGTCATGCTCAGAGTTTTCCAGCTGGAGCCGTCAGACCCTCTGCTGTGGAGGAAGACCCTCAAGAACTTTGAGGTGAGGAGACTGTAATGTAGCCAAAACACGACGAGCTCTGTGCCATCGCTCAAGCTCAGCGCACACTGATGGTCTGATCTCATTCAGGTGGAGAGCTTGTTTCAGAAGTACCACAATCGCCGCAGCTCGCGCATCAAAGCTCCCTCACGCAGCACCATCCAGAAGTTTGTCTCTCGCATGTCCAACTCTCACACGACATGTACCTCCAGCGCCTCCCCATCCAGCAACGAAAGCAGGTTTGTAAAGCTCCAGAGACCCTCTTATTTGGTTGAACTATGCGATTTGCATTCTTGAGCAAAATAATTCACTCTGAATTCATAGTTTGTTGCTATTATGACATCATATACAGTGCCTTGCGAAAGTATTCACACCCCTTCATTTTTTTTTTTTCTTTTTTTATTCTTATGTTAAAATGCTTTAAATTACTCTTTTTTTTTTTTTTTTTTTTTTTTTTTTTTTTTCTCATAAGTATCTTCAAGGTACACAGTATTACCTGAAGTGTACATATTAGTACTTAAATATACTAGATTTTGTACCTTTTTTCTAAGAGCCTATACAGATCTTTTATTTTCATTCTAACCAGACTGGAGTTGTCTGACACAGATGTGGCTGAAAA